TTGTTATCCCATAAGCCACTTAAATTATCATTAAACGAACGTAGAAGTGCGTGACAAGTTAATTTATACAAATTACACGGAACTAAGTTTATACTGAAATACTTTTCTCGGTGGAAGAACGTTCGTGTAATAATCCGACGACCGTTGATTGCCGGAAGTAAGACGGTAATTTGAAAGTTGTTGGAAAGTTTCTGTACATTTCCGATAACGAAATTTATCGCGACTGCGTGCGGAAAGAGAGCGCAGGAAAGCGAGTCTAGCCGATTCCTTAGGAGATTTAGGAAAACTTTTCCGCGGTACAGATGGACCGTTCGAACTGGAAACCGGCATTTCGTGGAAACTCGAATCTCACAGTTCGTTCGTTCGCGCAAAATCAGATTCTCAGTAACGTTAAATCGTCCTCCTCGACGTTGTTTCCGGGCTTCTTCGTCTCGTCCCGATACTTCGTCATGGTCAAAGGAAGATTCGATCGTGACTTTTCTTCCTCTTTAGTCGAACAGTTAGGTTTTTCGAGAGATAACATGGAAAAAAGATGATGGAGAATGGCAATGAAACACGGGGGTTTTGTTCGTCTCGAGCAACGAAAATGTCAGAGCCAAGTTGTCAGTGTTCGATCCAACGATCGTCCTTGATTCTTTCCTACTTTTCTCGGGGGACTCATTAAGCCAGTTTCGCTTTGCACGCGAGTTGCTCGCTTTAGATTATGCGATAATTAGCAAACTGGCCGAGTCCAGTACGGGTTTTCACACGAGCATGCAAACAGCTGCGATAGATTATGTAAGCGTTATCTAAAATTACGTTAAACAACGGTGTCAATCGCGCATGAATTTTTATAGCGATTTCGTTCACGGGTCGAGAGCTGCAACACCTATAAAGGATGTTTTAAGATCATCGGAAAGATTTGTCGGAATGATTTATTACGTGTTACGTTATATCGTAACCGAAGCATAGCGTCAAAGTTCCTGTCTTGTTAATCAACTAATTTCCCTAAGTAATTCTCGTTCGACGTATTCAAACGTTCTTCGATGAACCCTCCGAGGGTTTGATCGATTCAGGTCGAATATTACTTCTTCGTCTAAATAATTTACAAATTAATCTTAATCTAAATATTCGAATAGAGCGCAATCTCGTTACCAGCGGGAAAAGAAATTTTCGAGAGACTAACAATAAGAAATCTTTCTCTTTTCAGCCTTGAACCTTGCGATTAGTATTTTATCTCGATGGACAAGGATTCGAGTTAAACGAAACCGTATCAGCTTCACCGTGTTAATTAAATCGATAGTCGAAGAAATTTTTCTTCCTCTTTTTTCTATAAACGAAACGTTTTTCGTTATAAATCGTGGGCTTCGAGTTACGTTTAACGGAAAGCTCGGGATTCGCAATTATCCCTTTAGTGGGACGTTTATTGCTAGGCAAGAAACTGGCCGGAATTTGAAAAGTTTCGAGCAGTCCTTGAAAATTTCTAGCCCCTTTATCGTGCTCGGAGGTTGTGTGACCCTCAAGGAACAAGGGAGTACGTTCAAAAGTGCATGAATGCAGAAACATACTTGGCCGCGTCACGCCATGCCATGCCATATCACGCCAAGTTACGTGAAATGGAATGCTTTGATTACGCGAGCTTATCTCACGCCTCACGGACCTTTCGCTATTAAGGCTACACACTGCAACATCGCACGAGTCGCAGCATAATTAACGTATTACATAATTGTCATCCTTTGAAGAACATCAAAGATCATGGAGACTAGACAGGAGAAAGACACAAACGACACATTGAGGATGCACAGTGGAGCGCGCGTTTAAAATAAACGTCGATCATCAAGCTACAAAACAACACGAAACAACGTCGTTCGCAAACCATATCGAGCAACTCTGTAAATTAGAAAGATGATTAACGAGCTTGCGAAGATGAAATAAGAAATAGGGATGATAGAGATAAAAATGATATAGATATTAGAAATAATTCTGGAATTTCTTCTTTTCAAATTTATTACTATTTATATCGTGTTCTCGTGATAAGTCAATTTACGGAAATAGGTAATCCGTTTTCTTGGAAATTCAATATTCGCGCGAATAATGAAATCGAGATTTTGACGAAAAGTGGAATTGATCGATTTCACTTCCAAGATTCTCGGGTATTACAGGGACGCGTTTCTTACGAAACGAGAATTATACGTACGGAATTTTTGATTTTCTCGATATTCTTGAAAACTTCTCCACTTTTCTACTTCAAACATTCTATTTCAAACATTTTTCGACACGGTCTTTCGCCCTAATGTCTTTAAAAAGCACACAGAATAAAATTACCCTCTATAAGACCGTAATAAAACCTGTCTGGACATACGGAATCCAACTATGGGGAACAGCAAGTAATTCCACCATTGAAATACTTCAACGCGTCCAATCGAAAACGCTAAGATCCATTATAAATGCAGCTTGGTATGTCACCAACGAACTAATACATCGCGACCTCAAGATACCCACAGTCAAAGAGGAAATAGCAAAATATAGCGACAGATATGGCAAAAGAGTCAACAAACATCGAAACCCTCTAATTACTGGATAACTTGATACGACGGACCAGATTCGCAGGAGAGATCCGTGAAGAGACACTACCCGCTAGACCTAAACGCTACATTTAATTAGATATCTAAATTAATTAATATTTACTTATTTATAATACTTATAAATTATACTTGTCCATAATAAGTATTAACTTATTATAAATATTTAGCCGTGTCACTGCGCCACGCCAGAAAAAATTACTGAAAATTCTCAATGAATTAATTGTAAATAATGATAAACAAAAAAAAATGTGTTTAAAAAGTTACGCTTCGTTTGCTATCTCTTTCATTAGAGCAAAAATCGTTTCAATGATATAAAGGTAGACGTGAAATTCAGTATACTTGGTATAAGCGATATAGGGAGACCGTAAAATAGTAATAGTAAAAATTTCGATCCTCGAAACATGTAAACCGTAACTCCGAACCGATTTTACGACGTCGGTATATCGCTCTCGCGGACCATAACAGAACGGATTTGTCTGACCTGGGTTACCAATTTTGTGCAGAAGGTTTCTCCTGCACGAACGTGCTGCTTTTCCCATGTTTAGCAACCGCGTGTTTTATGTCTGACTGTCCCTATTAAATCCACGAGGTCGTAAGGACCTGAACTTTAGGTTCAGAACGACCTGCAGGGCATCTCACTGTTTTTGGTGCAGGGTTACTCGAAAATGGTAACAGTATTTGCAGATTCCCCGTACGTATCTGTTTGTAAATGGTAGGACATTTCCAGATAGTGAGATTATTCTCGCAACGATTAGGAAGCTATTGCAAAATTATTATCTGATTTGAATCTTATGGAAAGATGCATAGAAATGATGGAATCTTACGGAAATCAAATAAGGGATTCATAGGTTCGACGTTATAATAAAAATCTCATTTTTATTTACGATAACTTTAACCAATTCTCGCTATTATTGATTTAATGAAATATTATACGTAGCGGCACACGAGCTACACGGCAATTCGAATCATGTTGTTATTTTACCTCGGAGTATCAACATCGTTAGGACACACATAATCTAATAATAAATAAATTCCAGGCAAAACAATGTTGCCGCTACGTGCAACCGTCGAACAAAGTCAAATTTCAATTTTCCGATACTCCCCCGACCATTATAAATAAACGAACGCGATCGTAAGGTGAACAATTTTTCAATCTCGGTCTCGAGCGATTTTATTAGCGATCGATACACAGTCTTTGGCGAATCAGTTAGTACTGAGCGTCTTAGCGAGCATTCTCTTGTATTTATTAATTATCCGTTTTTTCGCGTGATATACAGGGTGGTTGGTAACTGGTGGTACAGGCGGAAAGGGGCTGATTCTACGCGAAAAAAGAAGTCGAAAATATAGAATAAAAATTTAAAAATTTTTTAAATTAAAAATTTAAAAATTTAAAAATTTGAAAATTTGAAAATTTGAAAATTTGAAAATTTGAAAATTTGAAAATTTGAAAATTTGAAAATTTGAAAATTTGAAAATTTGAAAATTTGAAAATTTGAAAATTTGAAAATTTGAAAATTTGAAAATTTGAAAATTTGAAAATTTGAAAATTTGAAAATTTGAAAATTTGAAAATTTGAAAATTTGAAAATTTGAAAATTTGAAAATTTGAAAATTTGAAAATTTGAAAATTTGAAAATTTGAAAATTTGAAAATTTGAAAATTTGAAAATTTGAAAATTTGAAAATTTGAAAATTTGAAAATTTGAAAATTTGAAAATTTGAAAATTTGAAAATTTGAAAATTTGAAAATTTGAAAATTTGAAAATTTGAAAATTTGAAAATTTGAAAATTTGAAAATTTGAAAATTTGAAAATTTGAAAATTTGAAAATTTGAAAATTTGAAAATTTGAAAATTTGAAAATTTGAAAATTTGAAAATTTAAAAATTTAAAAATTTAAAAATTAAAAAAATTAAAAAATAACGTCAATCGAGACAACGATCTACAGTGAGATCCGTTATAACGTACCGCACGCGTACCGAGCGAAAATTCACAGTCGATTTTCTCGGAAACAAAGCCTCGAACGAAAAATTTTTATTCTATATTTTCGACTTCTTTTTTCGCGTAGAATCACCCCCTTTCCGCTTGTACCACCAGTTACCAACCACCCTGTATATTTGACGGTTTCAACATCGAGTTATCTCGTCGTTTAAACCACACGATTCAACCACTATCCTCTGAAAATATTATTAATTTTTCTATCGTATTCGTTCTTAACTAATTCCACATTTTGGTTGAAATTTTAGGTGAGTTTTCCGAGTGTTGCAGCTGTTTCAAACGAAGCTTTTCGATGAGATTTAAATTTAAGGAATTGCGAGGACAAATACGTATAATTCTCAATTCATTATACTTCTCTCGTTATTTAGAGAAACAGCTTTTACTGATTATCATATAATCGTCTCGGCTAACTGCAAAATCATGGCCGGTTAATCGTTTAAACAGACTGTCACCCCTCGTACGAAACTAAACGTTGTGCGAAATTTACACGGAATTAAAAAATTGTGCGGAATTTGCAGGAAACGTATGAACGGGAGTGTACACAGCTACAAAACTGCTAAATCTCGCTTTACTATCTCCAAACAGTTATTTCTATTCTGAATTTTGAAAATATTCCCCGAATATTGTTTCCACGCGACGAATCATGAATTTCTGCTGAATCTCCACTTCGTCGCCTTGTTTCCTATGATTTACATTTGTCATTGGATTCTTCGCGAGTTAGAGAAAGATCCTGTGACGATGAAAGTCTCGTAACTTTGGCAAAGTGCAGAATACAAGATCGCCAGTGTATCGAAACACGAAAGTTCATTTTTGCGACTCTGCGTGATAAGACCAGGACGTCTGAACATCTGTGTCTCGCGACAGGGAATTGCGGTTGTTTTGCGCAGTTTATAATGTCCGTCAGAAGTTTGGAAGGATGTTTCAGCTGCTGGCTACGTGATTTACCGTACTTTTAACAAATTCCGCGTGTCACCTCCGCAACCAACTTTTACCCGTAGATAGCGCGGAGAGAGAGGAAGAGAGAAAAAGAGAGAGAGAGAGAGAGAGAGAGGAATTCACGATGGCGTTGTACATCTGCCAAGACATCTTGATTCGAGCACATAAATAGTAAAAATCTTGTTACCTCGTAGCGCTGGTAATAACGGGACGTTCCATAATTTTTTAGGAGCGCGTATCCCTCTCCCTAAAAGAGAGACGGAACGTTTCTGGAGGAAAAACCGAGGAAAACAGAGGGGTACCGAATAAACAGAAAGTTTTTCTTTTTTTCCTCGCTTCGGAGGAAATGAATTCCAAACGATTCGATGAAAATCGCCGACTGTTTCGAACGAGTCGGCTAAACAGAGAGACCAGATTCGGCTCAGCCACTACTCACTCTTTAAAATTCGTCCCCGTAGTTTCCTCGTTACTTCCTCCGGACACTCATTATCGAGTCAATCGTAGACACGAGCATAGAGATAGTTTGGAAGTTTGTCACTCGAACAGATTATGCCAATGCAACGACGTTAGAAACAACGTTTCGCCCGCTTAGGACGCACTGTTGCGATTAACTGGATTATTTTCTTTCTCATTCTCTTCGTCTATCGCACTCCCTTTCCCTGGTTTTCCATGGCAAATACCACGATGGGTTCATCATTATGAACGAACAAGTATATTTGTTTCAGGGCGATAAATCAACGCCAGTACCGCGCTACCGTCCGCAATGTTTAATTGGCTACGCTCTCGTTGTAATTTGTTAAATAGTTGTACGGCTGTAAAAGACTTTCGAAAGCTAGCGTTCGGTATCATCCTGCGTTGTTCCGCGCGATCGATGGAAAACCACGATCGATCGATCTAACATGGCAATCATAACGTTTCGTTTACGTTTACATTGATGTCGCGCAGTAAGCGTAGCCGAGAAAGGTAGTATAGTATCGTAAATTCATAGCCAAATTCTGAAAGCTTACGCACCTTCCACTTTGCTTCTAACTGGAAGTCGTTATTGTTGCACGCGAGGTTGTGTTCGTAATCGCGTTCGCGTTTCGCAGATTGATATTTGGTCTGGGATAGGGAACGAGAGTAATAGCTGCTTTAGTTCTGATTGCAAGGATTATGCAAAGAGGATTTAATGGTCGTTTAGATGAATTAATTGAAGGGTTCAGGGAGCATGTGATACAGATGAGAAAATCTTGAATTTCAGCAACTGCGTGTTAAGTCGAATACTCGGAGGACGTTTCTGACGGTTCTCTACATTGGAACTTTGAAAATTTATAATATTCGCTAAATTCAATTCACTAAATAAACGCGCATGTTATACTGGCTATACGAATATTCGCACACTGCTACATTTATTGTAGCATTTACGTAATAATTAATCGGATCAAGGTATTTTTGTATCGTTTCGTAGTAGATACTGTAGTATCGGAAATAAGATATCGTTATCGATTTATTTACAATAAATGGATTGTACAGATGTTGATTAAACAGAAGAACGATGCTTGTTTAACGTGAACTAATCACAATAACGTGCCATAATCTAGACAACTCAATAGTTAATTCGCAACTCTCGTCACAACGGATCAAACGCTCTCTCACGCGGATCACACTCTCGCGACAACGCTAGTGTCACGTAAAGTTGAGGATTGGATGATAAAATAAAATAGCTGGGCCGTAACACAACTATCAATTTTCCCTTTATTAAACTTTATTACGAATTCAGCAATCGCAATGGAATATACACTGAATCAACATACATAAATCACAATACTTATGTAAAACCTAGTTACACTGATACGCTAAGTACGCGACCGGTCTAAGGGTAGAAACTGGGTAAAAGGTGTCGACTATTCCAAAGACAGAGACTGAGTGAAGTTTTACTGACAATCCTGTGTCTGGGGAAAGCTAAGGATGGGTGTGTCTAAGGACACGGGACCATCGGATTTGTTGATGACAATTTTGGTTAGGAAAATGAGGGCACTAGACACCGCTTCCGATTGGATAATAAGAAGGTTAGTGGAACAGCAAGGGTTTTAGCCGCCTTCGAGAGAAAATTGCCAACGGAAGATACCAAACGCGAGGAAAACTAACTTTCCCGTGTCAATCAGTAGCAAACAATAAATGTAAAGGAAACCTGAAACAAAAGATCCGCGGGTACCAACCGCCAACACTACTACGACGACAACGAGTCTGTCTGTCTCGCTAACGATCGAATATACGATGTCACGGTACAAATACCGCACCTAGCGAGGCTCCGTCTACGTCTAAGGCAGGGACTACCTGGCATAGCCTTACCGACGAGTCCACCGGTTGTCCCGGGACGAAACGCGAATTCTCTTTTCACCTGGCAGCAACTACACTTCCTACAGATACTTGTTTGGTCTTGAAGGACCTTAACTATGAAAATGTCAAGATTTATTGGTGGTAGTCCTTAATTAAGACTATTGAGGACACGCAGTAAGGATGCGTAGACATCTACATGCTATCTTGCCCTCGGTGTGTGGCCTGGTCACTGTTGTGCATTGAGATTTGCTTGATGTTACACTAGCAACACTATCTCGACGACGCAACTCGCACTCTCTGACTTCTCGATTCGCACTCTCTCGCTTCTCCACCGACACTGCCTGTTCCAGCATCCCTTTGTCTTTTCTTAGACCCTCAAACACTCGTGGCCAGGTCACGTGGGCCTTTTCTACGAAACTATTGAATCGAAGGACCGACCACACGTTGATGGGCCTGACGGCGCTTCGGCTCTCGCGACATTGTTTATGGTTTACCCGATATCTCGTAGGCCTTTTTGTCCACGATACTACAATACTTTTACGTAATTACAAAACAATTATATTATGAAAATTAACGTTAGAATCTAATAAAAGAACCGTATTTATCTGATTAAAAAAGAAAAAGATAAAATCGTATCGCTTTTCCATCGAACTTGTCAATCGGTACAATGGTCATGTAGGAAATAATAAACAAGATTTATCGGTTTGAAACAACGTTCGCAATGGAGAGACAGTTCGTTCTCTACGTTAAGTAAAATTAAGGAAACTCGATTGCTGGAAGCTTGGAGAACGTCGCAACTGATGGAGCCAATATATGTCGGATGATTTATAATTGTCTGCGATCTGCATCCCTCTCGTGATTCATTATTCATTATGTTGCCAGCTATATTTCGCATTGCTGTCGAAAACTTCTCGCGTAACAATTGTTATCGTCGACTAGGATCAAGCATAATAGCTGCTCGTGCAATTCATTCGCCGAATATACGACCGATGTTTGCGCAATAGATAAAAATTCAGACGAGCTTCGAACATTCCGATTTCCTACTATGCGATACATTTCCATGCTAATTCCACCAATTTCGCATTGTATTATTCATTATATGCAGAACGTGCCCTACCACCCGAAAATACTATCGAACGAAATAGTATACCGTTATTCCAACAAAATGTTTCCATACAGGACCTGTTTTCCGCTAGTTTTCCACGAACTTGCGTTTAGCCTTGATTACGATCTGCATCGTTATCGTTATGAATCGTTGCAACGAATCGTTCCCATCGTTCGTGCTCTTACTTTCATCGTTTCCATTATTTCTGCATACAACCGACAACGATTTCATCGGATCTTACGAAAATCCACGACCCGTCGAAGGCTTTAACCCTTAACACTCCTACGTCGAGTGTGAGTCGACATCAGCTTTTTATCTCAGCAGCTCCTTTGTCGAATCCCACTCGACATTCTTTCAGTCCTACCTTTTCCTGTGAAACGCGCGAGAGAAAACCAGGATTGCATGCTGGAAGTTGTTTTAAGATATATCATACTGGACTACTTGATACGTCGGACCAGATCCGCAGGCTGAAGAGACACTAGACCTAAACGCTAGATTCAATTAGTTATCTAAATTAATTGATATTTACTTATTTATAATACTTATAAATTATACTTATCTATAATAAGTATTAACTTATTATAAATATTTAGCCATGTCACTGCGCCACGCCAGAAAAATTACTGAAAATTCTCAATACGAGAATTGATTGTAAATTTTAATAAATTAAAGAAAAAAAGATATATCATACGCTTAAGAATTACAAAATACAACAGTAGTGTGAATAAAATTGGTATTTCAGCGAATTCGTTTCTTCCTTTATTCGTTTAAATTGTCTCGTTTCTTAGCTAAAGTAAAATAAAACACTTAAAAGCGTTGCGAGCTGCTGGTAACGAAATTGAAATAAAATTCAGAGTGCGAAGGGTTAAGATCGACGATAAAACGAGAAGTTGACCGAGCGAGCTTCGCGAATGGATCTTTCGTTCGGTTGGCGATCGATTCGTAGCTGAAGAAGCAAGATGCCGAGTAAGAGTGATGTTAGCGGTTGTCCGCGGAAATTGAAAATGGAAGGAATCGGCGATGCGCGGTGGGTGAACGAGAAAATGATCGTGAGAAAGTTTTAGTTGTCAAAGCTCCTCTTTAATCCCGGGATAATTGCACCTTCCGGGGACGACTTGCTCTATGAGACGCCACGTTGGATGCGTAACACTCCATCAAAGTTCTTAGGACGACCGACTGTATTGAAATCGCATTGTCCGGGGATCTTCCTATTAATCCTATAGAATCTGTGAAATTTCGAGAGAAAGAAAGATCGAGAAACGTCCGGCTGCTATCGCGAAAATGAAGTAAGACGTTAAGAGATGGAAGCATATCGGACGATAGAAGGAAATTCTTCCAAGTGCCTCGCCATTCTGACCGAGAAGTTACCGCAGACATCGTAGAATTTTTCTTTCCAGAAATTAACCTCCTCAAAAATTGGACAATTCGTCGCGATATTCCAGAGCCTAGTCGAAGGCTCGAATTACTATAATCGCTAGTTACATGTTAGAAACACGTGGTAACGATTTGTAACAACATGTTATTCGACATGTGAAGCAAATGGAAAGTTAACACGGAACGCGTTATACTCAGAGACGATTCTTTTCGTTTGAAAACACCGAAAAACAACGAAGTGGCACCGTTTCGTGAATTTAATTCGCTTAATTTCATCGTTCGATCCTCTGACGAAAATGCCGATAAAAACTAACTGGATTCGTTCGGTTTGAGAAGAAACCGTTTATAGCCACATATTTTCGACGAAGAGCCGCGTTATCGGCTGAAATTGAACGCGCGTCTGCACGGGCCAATTTTTGAACTCGTTCTGGGGTCATTTTCACCCTTTCTATTCTCATGGTTTTCTCTATTTCGCGAGTCGTAGCGCGTTCGAGCGGAACCTTTGGGACAGAAAAGTTTCTCTTCCGTCGACTTAATTAACATTTCGCGCGTCATAAATGTCGGGCGACGAAGAACGTCTGGTTCCATCGGGACTCGCTGAAATTTTCCGCAACCAACGTTTTCTTGACATCGGTGAATTTTTCCTTTGGCCCGTTCGATCTCGACTGTAGCGAACATCCTTAAAATACTTTGAATCTTGTTTTAGATTCTAGGCTCGTTTTCGTGCAGGTTCGTAAGGGGAATTTAAAGGAAAGATCGATACGTGGCCGAATTATCCGCGACCATTAAACTACATTAAACTCTACGTTATTAGTTAGTGTGATTCTTTTAACGTAGACAAATAAACGTTTTGCATAATTTATTCATAAAAGTTTACCACGAACGTTTTCTGCATTACGGTGGAATATTCGTATTTATGTTTAATTCATGGACCGTTTTGTTCGATCAACTTCAACGAGTCTTCCGTCAATAACCTTCCTGCGTTAAATTCGCGTTAAATCGTCTAGGAATTCGAAACACACTGGTCAAATATTGGAACAGTAACAAACGAGCTTTAACGCGTAGTAGATCGTTCAATTATTCCGTATTATGATAGCGGTGTGTTGGTCGAGCTGCTTTCAAGGAGAGTCTAATTTAGACGTGCAGCTTTGAACGAAGCAATTAAGTGGATTAAAGACTGAGCGAAACGGCGATTATTTTATTACAGTTAGATTAACCGGACACGAACGGACAGATAACGAGGAAAATCTTTCGCGAACATCGTGAAAACGGGATTTCTCGAGTCCCGACGAATTTGCCTTCTCGTTTATCACGAAAGTTGCGTTCAGAATGTACCTCCGTGGCAAAATAAGAACATCGATCAGTGAGAAAACAAGGACGAGTCCGATAATCGAGCAAAGGCAATCTTACAACTATCGTTGGTTCTTCTACTTGTAATTCGAATCAACTCGATCGAATCTTCTTGCGTAAATGGTTCGACACGATTTCCTCGTTGATGTAACAACCCATGAAAACGGCAGGTGAAATCGGAACTATTCTCGATTAAATAACTTCGGAGAGTGCTATATGTGCGGCTTAATTACTCGCAGAGAATCACGAATTAAACGCAATCACACGCATGGAAAGTTTGCAGCGGTATCGTGCTTGATAATCTGATATCTATTAACGCTTCAATTACCATATTCGGGATTGCATTTACCCAATCGGTAAACAAGTAATAGTGGCAGACACGCGATCCATCCTTTGATTCGAAGCTGTGCTCGCGAATCAAGTTTCCCTTGACGTGTCGTGTTTGCTTGTTGTTAACGCTCACATTTATGCATGTCGATCTATTAACAATCGAACGATATAGTTTCGCATAACGTTATGGATGCTTGCTTCGATATCTTTGACTCTCATACGATCGTAGAATACACATGGAAGAACCACTAACGACAGAAATACGAAGTGAGTGTTTCATCCTTCTTTCATAATCGTGACATGTAAAAGCAGAATTTGATCGTGTAAATCGATCGAGAGATAATTGAAAA